TCCTCTGGGAGGCTGAGGTGAGTGGACTGCCTGAGCCCGCGGGTTCGAGACCCGCCTGGGCAGCGAGACCTCATCTCTACAATAAATCAAAAAGTCAGCCGGGCGTGGTAGCGCATGCCTGTAATTCCGGCTACTTGGAAGGCTGAGGTGGAAGGATCGCTGGAGCCCAGCAGGTCGAGGCTGTGGTGGCCGGGAGCAGCCACTGCACTCCAGTCTGGGTGACAGAGTGAGACTCCAACTAAAAAAAAAAAAACAAAAACAAAAAACAAGAACACTTCAGCATGGGTCAAACAGTTTAGGCTGGGTTTTTCTGTTAATAAGAAAAGTATGAGAGAACAGCACATTTTTGGAGGAAACATGAATTTTACCTAGTAAAAAAGAAGCCTGGACAGAGACATATACTCTAGGCTGTGAAGTACAAGAGCCTTTTATGTATAATCTAGACAAATTAAATAACCATTTGACAGTTTGGTTTTTTTCCCCAAATACTCTCAAATGCAAAAAGAATTCAGAAGGTGGAAGGCTGAAATAATAACAAATCCCCTAAGTATGGAGACTATTTTAATGTTTTCTATGTATTGCAAATCATTCTGAAACACATTTCAGACCTATAAAGTTGATGCAAGTATCCACATTTAACCTAGAAGAAAACTGAATTTGAGAAGGGTTAAAGGCATAGGATTAAACCATGTGATTTTAGAAGCCAAGATCACGCTACTTGAAAACGCTTCTGCTCTCTAATAACTTCTCCTATTTCTCTGTCTACTCTATAGTTTGCTTGAGTTTCCCTATGTGACTGAGGTTTGATAGTGCAGAGCTTTGCTGGTTGCTAATGACATTAGTTTTCTGATTATTTTTTATTTATTATTATTATTTATTATTATTATTTATTATTTTATTTTAAATTTTTATATTTTTGAGTCAGAGTTTCACTCTGTTGCCACACCCTCGGCTTGCTGTGGTAGCTATGATCATGCTACCACACTCCAACCTGGGCAACATCCTTCTGTCTCAGCCTTCCAAGTAGCTGGGACTACAGGCATGTGCCACCATGCTCAGCTAATTTTTTTATTTATTGTAGAGGCAAGGTCTCACCATGTTGCCCAGCCCAGGCTGGTCTCGAACTGGAGCAGGCAATCCTCTTGCCTCAGCCTCTCCAAGTGCTGGGATTGCAGGCATGAGTCACCATGCCTAGCTTGATGAGTTTATTTATAACATACAGTACACTGTTAAAACTGCTCCTAGAAGTTTTCTACTCAGCCTGTTTAGTGTGTGTCCTTTATGACCTGCCAGTATCCTCTCTACTCATTTCTTTTTCGGCTACAGTTCTGCTCCAGGACTTTACCAAAAATTCCCTCTTAAAGGTCATTAGTGAAGCGTATACATCTCCAAGAATATCAGAACCTAATTCTATTGATTTTAAAATGTTGCTTTAAATGACTTACAGTGTTTTGTCTTTTTCCCAGATGATATCTGTGAATTTTAAGGGTGAGGGTGAGGACTACATTACATATTTCCTCTCTCTCTTTAGTACTCTCTCTCTTACACTTACACACACACACACACACACACACACACAGCACAATTTTTAAACTTGTTGGCTAGATGGCTAGAGGTTTACTAAAAACAAGAGGTTTACTGTGGAAGACTACTACCAGCAGGGAAATAGCCTGTGAAATCAACCAATGTGGCCTGGTTTACTGAGAAAGAACAGGCTAAGAAAAACCAATCCAGGAGGTGGAATCAAAGAAAATCTGAGAAACGATTTCGGAAACGCCAGCCCACCTGGTATTCTGTTGTCAGGGGTGCAGGGGTCACTTCATCCTCTAAACTTTCTGCCTGGGTTTCATCAGCATCCTGAGATAGCTGAGCTGGGGAAGGAAAAGAGCCATGAGGTTTGCATCTCCCCAAATCCCTCAAATAGAAAAATTGCCTGCAGAACCACTGAATGTGGCTCCTCCCCCAGTATCTTCACAAAGAGGGACATTTAGAGCAACTCAAGAGCAGCCTGAAGCTGCTTTAGTGAGGACGGCCTGCAGCATGCTGCTTTGGGCATTAATCTTTCCCAGTGGTCTCAGATCTCTCAGGCCAATCTTTTGTTCAAAAATTCTCAAAGGTTCCCCAAGAAAAGAAATAAAATTCCAACACTTTACCATGGAGTTCAAGATCCTCCCCAACCAGTCCAAAGCTGCTTCTTCACATATTATTTCCCCTTAAATGTCATCCTTCAGCCACTGAACCCACCTACCCACATAATCCTATTCACTACTCTTTGAACATAGCTGGAGAGTATCCACCTCAGTACTTTTCCCCAGATCCTATTTGGTGAAAAACAGATATCCTTCAGGTCCAGTTCAAGAGAAGTTTTCCCAGATGCCCTCAATGAGTTGAAAGCTTCTTCTCTTCCCATGCTCCCCAAAAGCTTAGTTTCCACAGTCATTGTGGTATCTATTTTAGGCTGCTTCCCATTTTATTTATTTGTATAATTATCTCCCTCAACTGAGTATCAGTATGAGTATATGGGAAGAAATTGTATCTTGTTCACTCCTTTCCATCTGCTAAAGTGCACCCTACCAGCTTTCAAGTATTCAAGTAATACTGGTTGAATTTGAGATAGTAAAAATATTAATTAGGAATTAAGACATATGAATTACTATCCTCGTATTTTATTCCAACTTTTTATCATGAATATCGAACCCCCATATATCCATCATCTAGAGTCAACAACTGTTAATATTTATCATATTTGTTTTATCTATCTATATTTTTTCTGAACCATTTCAAAGTTGCAGACATTATGATACTTTTTCCCTAAATACTTCAAATAAGGATCTACTCGTATATAACCACAATACTTTTCCACAACTATGAAAATTAACAATAATTCCATAGTATCATCTAAATATTCTGTCCATATTCAGATTTCCTCAACTGTTCCCAAAATATCTTTTATTCTGTATTTTTTCCAAACCAAGAGCTATCAAGGCTCACACATTCAAACTGGTTCCTACCTCTAAACTCTTACTTTAAAATAATTCTTCTCCTTTTTTCATGACACTTTTTTTTAAAGATATAAGAACAATATGACTGTATCCTCATGGTGGGTATCCTCATGGTGGGGTTTACCTTATTTTTCCAACCCCTATATTTTCTGTAAATCAGATGTTCAGTCTTTAAGCTTAATTTAGTATCTAGTTCAACATTTTTGGTAGGAGTACCTGTGGGTGACGCCATGTGCTTTATATTACATTACCAAGGAAGTATCACATGTCAGGTATATCCCATTATTGAGACATCTGGTTAAGACAGTGACCACAAGACCTCACCATTGTAAAAGTATGTTCTTTCCTTGACACTTAGTAAGTAATCTGAGGGGGTAACTCTTTGACAACCCATCAACCTTTCAATTATTTTATTTACAGTAAAATATCTTTCATTCCTTCCATATTTTTGATAGGGATTTTCCATAAAGAGCTTTCCCTCAGCAACTGAAAATGATCTAAAAGATAAAGTAAATGCATTTTATTCATTCATTCCCATAATTTTCCTTTTCAAAGTATTATCCCTAATGTTTACAAATGAGTTCCCCTCACCCTTCTTTCTCAATTTTAAGAGTCATTGTGAGCATGTGGAATTCTAGTTAGCCAATGTGTTACAATCAAATATGGACATTTAAACTGTCCAAAATTTGTCAAGTGGGAGCCCCTTAAACCTGGCCTCTGCATCCTTTTGATACACATCCATTAGTCTTTAAGCTCTTCCTTGCCTTCTAGCACAAGATACTCCAGGCTTACCTGGTTCTTCCCCTGCTGCCTTTCACTTCTGACTTAGCCGCCCAGTACCTGTGTGACCCTGGACAGATCTCTCATTTGATTTTCATTTCCTCACTGTTAGAATAAGGAAAATCAGGTAAGTCTTCCTGCCCCACAAGCCCACCAGGGTAGATAACAAACACAGCCACGGTACTGAAATATTGGTTTTAGGCTGAACTGACCGCTAGTACTTAGGAAAATCCCAGACCAGAAGCCATAATCAAGAACTCTAGAGATCTTTCACCCAACCATTTCCCTAAGAGATGTCTTCACTCAAGTGTGTATCTTCCTTCTCACTCTAGAGAAGACCACTTTTCCTCCCTCTCACCAATCAGTCTACTCTCACCTTGTCCTTTAAACATTTTAGTCACATCTTCCCAGAGGAGCGCACCCTCGCTGGCCTTCTTTGGATGATGCAACTTCACACAGGTGCCGGCCTCGGAGGGCAGGGTGATCAGGAGCTGCTGCAGCATGATGACTTCCACGCTGCTTTCTGAGGGGCTCTCTGTCTCAGCCCACAGGGCGGCGAGTCCTTGATGGCTGGTCCACTTCTGATGAGGAAATGGCTGGAACCTCTGACAGAAGGCAGCACAGCTGTACCGGTCTTCTCTTACCGCCGACGCGGGCTCCTCTGTGTCCTCACATCCGGGGTCTGGACTTGTTTCCGTCCACGGCCCGTAAGGCACATCTCCCAACTTGAGCTCCAACTGCCTCCTTCTGAAGGCAATTGGAGGCGCAGGGCATTTATTCTCGGTGGCCCCTGCAGGTGCTGGGCAGAAAACATCAGAGTCAGCCAAGAATCGAGAAGGCCCGGTCAGGCCATAGACTTCAAGCTCAAGATCCAGAACTTGAGAACTTGCACGGATCACTGTAATATTTTTTTCTTAACAAAAGTTACATGGGGGCTACACACAGCCCAGAAGATCCCAAGCACCGTGCAGATGTCACAGAGCACAAAGAGATGGATACCACCCAGTTGTCTGTTTTAGGCAGTCTTTAAAGGAGTCCGGGATGTGGGATCCAAGCTCCTGCACGAGTCGGCTGCAGCGAATCACGCCAGTGCTCGGATCCAGTCTCCTCGCCCCCAAGTGAGAGGCTGTGCCGTGCTCCCAGGCGGGCCCCGCCCGGCCCCGCTCTCCCCTGCCCTCAAGGCCTTTGTCCGAGCCGACTCCGGGGATGCGGGGGACAGCGCGCGCGACAGGTGGCCGCGGACAGCGCCCGCGCTTCCCGGTTCGTCACCCTCCATGAGCCCCGGAGACCCCCGCCCCCCCAGCTCACCCCGTCGCCGGCCAGAGCCGCGCTCCCGCCTTTCCACCGCGGCGGGCGGGTCTTGGCGCAGCGCAGCGTCGCTCCCACGTAGCGCCGCGGCGGGCAGCCCGAGCCCAGCGCGCCTGCGCGGCGGCGGCCTCAAGCGTCGTTCCCAGCGTCCTTTGCGGGAGCCTCTCGTCTCGCGGGCGAACCCCGCCGGCCCGGGCTCCTGCCTTCTGGGGCCCCCAGGATCTAAAACCAACACGAGTCTACCCAGCTTCTGCGGGAGGCGACAAAGCCTGGGTGCCTTCTGCGGAGAACCGACTCTTTCCTCTGCCGAGAATTCACGCGTGAATGTTTCTGGTGCGCAGTTGAAACCTTTGGTAAAGGAGCCGTCGCAGCACTTTGTTGTTTTAAGACGACGCTTGAATAGCAGAACCTATACCACTTCCTTAAATGATATATGTACGTGCAGTAAGACTGAAAGTTGAATGGTTTCCAGTTTTATTAAAATAATACCACAATCAGGGAGCTTTTTGTGTAGTATTCAATAGAAGTGCTCACGTTAATTGCTTACCTTGTAGTTCTGAAATGCCAGAAAATACACGCACACACAAAATAATTATTCTCTGTCATCTCACCAAGCAGAGGGAACCATTGCTAACAGTTGGTGCACAGCCTTTCCTACACGCACCTCATTTGTTTGTGTGCATTTTTACATATTTTCCACGTGATTATACTCTAATGCTGTTTTATTGCGTTTTCTCCCCTCAACAAAATAGCAGTACATTATTCCAAATACATTTCCACATCAATAGCTTACAAAAATAACAGTTTTGGAAATAGAAAAAAATTTTAGTAGTTGCTAGCGGTTATGAATTAAATTTGTTCTCCCCAAATTCATCTTGAAGCCCTAACCTCCAGTGTGAATGTATTTGGAAACAGGGCCTTTATGGAAGTAATTAAGGTTAAATACGGTGTAAGGGTGAGGCCCCGAACTCATAGGAATCATGTCTTTATAAGAAGAGACACCAGAGCGCTGGCAATCGCCTTCCCTCTCCTCTTCCCATGAACTGCAGGCACTGAGGAAAGACCATGTGAGGAACTAGGGAAGAGGCTTGTGTCTGCAAGCCAGAAATATAGTCAGAAACTACACTGTCAGATCTTGATCTGGGACTTCTAGTCTTCACACCGTGAGAAAATAAATTTCTGTTGTTTAAGCTATCTAGTCAATAGTATTTTGTTATAGCAGCCCAAGCAGATGAATGCACTAGCATATAGTATTTATAGAATATGAGGTTTTGCTCTAAGAGCATCTCGTGTTTGAACTGATTTTGTCATAACAACCACTCGAAGTAAGTACTATTATTAGTCCCACTTTACAGATAAGAAAACTGAGGTTTGGAGAAGTTAAATAACTTGCCCAAGATCATACAGCTTCCAACTGATGAATCCAGGTAATCTATGTTCTTATCTGCTACTCAACAAAAATACAGCATAAAATACAGTAAAATCTTAATGGTAGAATCTAGGTAGTTGTTTAAGGATGCTCACTGTAAAATTCTTTCAGTTTTTCTATATGAATATTTTTGTAATAAAATGTTGAAAAAATATAACAATAAACAAGAATTATGCAAAAAAATTATAAATAAAGTGACAAAAGTTACTGGTTTAGATGGAGAGAATAATGACATACAACATATTCATGAATTGGAATAGGACATTCTAAGTATGTCACATTTTCTCCAGCTAACATAGACTGTGATGTACTACAATCAAAATCTCAACTTCTCTTTTTTTTTTTTTTTTGAGTTGGAGTCTCTCTCTGTCGCTCAGACTGGAGTGCAGTGGCCGCTCCTGGCCACCGCAGCCTCGACCTGCTGGGCTTCAACGATCCTTCCACCTCAGCCTTCCAAGTAGCCGGAATAACAGGCACGCACTACCATGCCCGGCTTATTTTATTTATTGTAGAGATGAGGTCTCGCCAAGTTGCCCAGGCGGGTCTCGAACCTGCAGGCTTAGGCAATCCACTCACCTCAGCCTCCCAAAGCGCGGGATTACAGGCTGAGCCACTGAGCCCAGCTTCGACTTCTCTTTTTACGAAACTAAATGACTCTAACGTTTAGCTGAAATGGTGTTCCTGAATGGCCAGGAACATTTTCCATAATAACGACATAGTAGACTTGCCCTACCACTTTCTTGTATTCTAGAGGCACAATAATCAAAGTAGGATAAAATAGTGCCAACATAAACTTATCAATTAGTGAGATGAAATTGGAAATCCAGAAACAGACTTGATACTTTAAAAAAATTTTAGTATGTTGTAAAGGTGGCATTTCAAAACAGTTGGGTAATGATGGATTATTCAACAAATGTCATTAGGATGAATAGTTAGCTATTGGAAGTCTTGAGCTGACAACAAATACTACAGATAGGGTGATTTAAGTAACAGAAATTTATTTTTTCACAGTTCTTGAAGCTAGGAAGTCCATGATCAAGGTGTGGGGAAGGTAGTTTTAATTCTGAGACCTCTTTTCTTGGCTTATAGTCAGCTATCATCTCCTTATGTGCTCACATGACCTCTTCATATATGCTTGAGGAGAGTGAGTGCTCTGATGTCTCTTCTTTTAAGGACGCTCATCCTGTCAGATCAGGGCCCCACTCTTATGACTTCATTTAACTTTATTACTTCTGTAAAGGCCCTATCTCCAAATACGGTCATTCACACTGGGGGCTAGGTCTTCAACATATAAGTTTGAGGGAGACACAAACATATGGTCCATAGCAGGAACAAATCAAGTTGGGTTCCTGTCATACATGATACACATCATATGATTTCAGGAAAGAAAAGTTTTGTTTTAAAGTAAAACCAAAACTATTAAAATGTTCACATAAAGGTGAATCTATACATAGTTTTGGGATAAGAAACTATTCTCTATATAGTTTTGTGATTAAGGCTCTGTAATTTGCAAGCAACTAGTTCACCAGAATTGCTTTCGAAGATGATGATGATGATGATGATGATGGAAAGGATTCTGGAGTGTCTTCAGGAATCCAAGGAAGAACTGGCGAGCTCAGTTTGTGGAATGTTAGGAACTGGTGTGTTTCTGGGCACTGAAAAGCAAGATGTCTAGAGAGGTGCCTTCTGTACTACTGCCCTTAACATAATTCAGTTCTTGCAACTCCCGGTCTGTGTTGCTCAATTCAGAATTCCAAATCTTGGCAAGATAATTTGATTAGTCAGCTGTGACAAGAGGTCAGGAGTGTCATAGTAGAGCGATTTGACTTCTAGGCACTCACCCTCATGAATAAATAACAGTTCTCAACAAAGGGAAAATGTTTCAGACTAAGGAAAAAGATGAATGTTCCCTGCTTCATTTAATGACACAAATAGAACTTTAATATTAAATCATGATTTTGTAAGTACAAAAAAGAAAACTATAGGTTAATTTATGATAGTAGATATAAATATTCGAAATAAAATATTGGCAAATAGAACTAGCAATGAACTTCTAAAAATAATACATATGACCAAGCAAGTTTTTTCCCAGGAATATAAGATTGTTTCAATACCATATTAACATATCTATATATGTAGAAGTGTATTAACATAATCTATGTTTGTGACCCGCCTGGGCAACTTGGCGAGACCTCATCTCTACAATAAATCAAAAAATTAGCTGGGTGTGGTAGCGCGTGCCTGTAGTTCCAGCTACTTGGAAGGCTGAGGCGGAAGGATCTCCGGAGCCCAGCAGGTTGAGGCTGCGGTGGCTGGGAGCATGCCACTGCACTCCAGTCTGGGCAACAGAGTGAGACTCCAACTCAAAAAAAAAAACAACAAAAAAAAACATAATCTATAACATCAAATTCAATAAAAAACTGTATGACTGTGTAAATAGTCACTGAAATAAGCTTTCATAAACTTCAGTCATTCTAGTATATCACCATTTGTTTAACAAGTAATTGAAGGGCATTTACTGTTTGCCAATTTTTATTCTAATTAACATAAGAAAAACTTTAAAAAAGGATTAGAAGGAAGCTGCTTGCTATAGACTGAAAGTTTCATCCCCACCCTCCCAAATTCATATGTTAAATCCTAACTCCTGATGTGATGGCACATGGAGCCTTTGGGATATGACTGAGTCATAAGAGTGAAACCCTCATGAGTGGATTAATGCCCTTATCAAAGAAGTCCCAAAGTTTCCTTGTTCATTCCACCATGTGAAGACACAGCCAGACACACTGCTAGGAACCTGGAAGTGCAACTCACCCAACATCAAATCTGCTGGCACCTTGATCTTGGACTTCCCAGCCTTGGACTGTGAAAAATAAATTTCTGTTGTTTGCAAGCCACTCAGTCTAAAGTATTCTATAATAGCAACCCAAA